AGGGCGCCCGCGCCCCCGCAAGCAGCGGGCGTCAGAAGGGAGGAAGGGGCGCCCGGGGCAGCCCTCGCCCGTAGGGTGCTTTGGGTTGGAAGGGGCCTTCCAGGATCAGCCAGCGCCTGCCCCCGCCGCAGGCAGGGCTCTGTCAGATCAGGCAGCTCAAAGCCCGTCCAGCCTGGCCTTGGCCCGCAGAAACGCACGAGATTTTGTAACTCACCAGAAGCTGAAGAGCCGAATTTGCCCTCTGAAGTCGAACGGCGATGGGGCCACGGCGACATGCCTGGGCTGAAGCCCCCTCCTAGGAGAGGCAAAGGCCCCAAAGGGCCCTGGGAGGGAGGGAGGAGGTGTCCAAGCAAGGGGCTGAAGGGGCCGGCGCAGGCAGACGCCCCCCGCAAGGCTGCCAGGGCAGCAGTGATGAAGCCAAATGAGGTCAGCTGCGATAAACCCAGCAAAAGGAGGGGAACCTCACCCAGCACCATGGCTGCTCCCCCTCTGCTGCCTGCTCCCCCGCCAGCTCTGGGACTTCTCCACGCTCCCATGGCTTCCCGGCAGCTCGGTGATGTTAGACCATACTCCTGCATCTGGAAGATCTCCTGGTTGCATTGCAAAGTTTGGCAAACCCTCGCAACCCCAAAACGGCTGCTGCAGGGTAGGCAGGTCTGTGTCCTCCTGCCAGCAGACAAGCTTGGGGCGGGGGGGGGGAGCACTCCTGATCCTGCACCCCAAAAGCCCCAGCAGCTTCTGTGAGGATGGGGAGTCCCAGGAGAAGTCCCAGCAAGGTGGTGGCCTCTGGCATGGAGCTGCTCCCTCTTCCTCTGTGGGAATTTGCAGTTATTCCAGTAAGGGGAAAAAAAAACCTCAGTAGGGGATTCTGGTGTTGGAAAGTAACTTTTGGTCATTGCTGGTCCCTGCTGAGAGCCGCCCCTGGGCAGACACGGGGCAGGAGTTCCAGGGCAGTGGCCACAAAGGTGGTGACAGAGCCTGGCCTTCCCTCTGCCCGCCTTTGGAGTGGGGAGGTGTGTGGGGGGGTGTGAGCGTGCGGGGGACGGGG